TGAAAAAAACATTACTTTCTCAAAAAAGAATTGAATTTCAGACAGAAGTGCTTTATTACATTTTTTTTTGTAATATCCTGCAGTGCTGTAAAATGACCATAACTCTAGAAGAACGGCCTAAAGCAATGAACCCTTTTAGTGTTTTTCGCTAAACTATAATTGCTACTTATGAGCGAAAAATCACTTAAACAGAGGGTATCAATTGGAAAGATACCTTTGTTAGCGGACTCCTTATGTTTTATGAAAATTCATTCATCCTCTTAAATAATAATCTAACGTTAATTGGATGCAGTAAAACTTCAAATACTGATGCACATGAATTTTATCCAAAATTAAAATCAACTGTCATCATGTAGAATAAACATTGACTCAATTAAAATTTTATGTTCATATGAAATCGGGTTCGAATACTCTTCAAACAGTTTAAATAGATGCAAGATTTTTTAACTATATATGTGAATAAGAAATAAGATTTGAAAGTGTCGACACATTCAAAAAATGAGAACATCTTAGACTATGTTATAATTTACATGTTACAGGGAGTATGTTTCACAATTCTTTCTATATGTCAGTACTATAGTAAAACATCGATTCTATTCCAATTCAAAAAAAAAGCTTTTAGTTCATACTAAAACTATTGTTTTTCATAGAAGATTTCTTCGAGTAAAACGCCAATTCGTTTATTGAAAAAGATTTTGTCTCATAAATATCATCTAAATAAAAATTGACTTTCATTATTGTTCTAATTGTACACAAGTTTCATGTTTAAGATTTTTTTCAAACTTATCTTTCGATTTCTATTTTTCAAAAAGAAATGATTGATCACTGAGAAGATAAGTAGAGTCTTGAAGATTTTATTAGACGAAATAAATAACAAGACGTATTTAATAGTTATATACAGACATGTCCAAGAAAATGAATATCAAACGATTGTTCATAACAATCGTTTTAATAAATTATTCATTAAACAATAAAAATCGATTTATCAAAAATAGTTGTACAAATCAATTTGCATGTGCAGTCGGTGTCGTCTGCGTCATTTCAACTGATTGAGGTTCACTGACAGCAACGAGAACTTCTTCAAATGGATGAGCACTTAATTTCTCATTCTAGAAGAAAAAAAGAAACTTTCATGGAAATATGATCTTTATAGAATCAAGAGTATCTTCTTACTTGTACGTATTCGTTTTGTTTCTTTTGTTGTGTTTGTGAATGTTGATAATGACGAACAAAAGCAAGAGCACTTATTGCAATTACAAAAATAATAATAATAGAACATATAAGTTCAATAATAAAAGATTTATTCACATAATTCGGTTTGGCAGCAATAATATTATGTAGAGTGTCAAAACTATCATTTAGTGTTGTAGAAACAATATTATTAATAGAAGATTTTTCTGTTATAACAGTATTAACAGTAGTAATATAACTTTGATTATCATATGTAGTTGTATTATCATCTAATGACGTCTACTATGCAGAAAAAAAACGATTGTTTTAAAGATTATTTTCATTAGTAGTAATAAACAGTTAAATAAACCTGAAAAAATGATGACGCCATAAGATACGTCTACCAAACACGTTAGCTATTATACTTATAACCATAAAACAATGAGAAGAAAAAAAAAAATGTTTGTTGTTCTTTTGCATTTCCGCTTTTTATCTATGCACGCGTCAGATAAGATATAATATAGACGAGAATAATACGCATTTTGTATTATTTTTTTTTTGTTTTTTATGTTTAACTAATATGACTTGGCAAAGAAACTAAACATCAATGACTCATTCACATATGAGATAAATCAACATAATATTCAGACTAGAAAAATTTGTTTAGTGATGCACTTTTCTTTTCTTTTTATAGTAATATTTTTAGAAGAGATTTTAATTGAATATGTCGAATATTCATATTAAGCAATAAAATCGATTGTAAACAATTATCATGATACACTTGATTATATTTTTGTGAAAGACTCATGTTTTGATGTCGAATAATCTTATTTGATCGATTCGAGAATTGAATCAATGTGAAATATCGTGAGATAAGTTATAGATATTTTTCTCACTCTTTACCGTATTCTGTATAACATCTACGACGTAGTGAGACATAACCGATAAAAAACCCCATTAAAATGTGAGCTTTTAACATTTTCAAAAAAAAAAAACTTTGTTTTTTGAAAAGAAAAACGAGTTCAAGACAATGGTGCTCACAAACTTGTTTTTTGTAGAAATAAAAATCGTTTTATTTTCTAGCATAGAAAGTGCTCATTTTAACTAGTTAAAACACGTTTAAATGAGCTCTTGTCTGACTGAGTACGTTTATCTTACTACAAACAACAAAATGACTACGAATCGTATTTTTGATCTAAATATAGAGTTTATGATCAGAAGAAGTTTTCTTGGATATATATTAATAGTATAAGTGTAGATGTTTATAATACAAATAAAAGTTTAATGTAAAGATATAAAGTGTTGATCTACTGTCTGAATCTTTTTAGTACATGCTTGAATAATATTTAATGATAGGTCATTGCAAGCTTCATCGACCGTATTGTCTAATTCACCTTGTGACTTTGGATTCTTCTTATTAATTTTCTGTTTGACAATGTTTCAGATCAGTTCGATAGCGTCAAAATCAAAACTATTATATGTCCATTGACATAATTCAATAGTATATTATAAGCTAAAGTATGTGATCGATCACGCTTGCAACGGTCTATCATTAAATCTTATTCAAGTATATGTTAAAAAGACTCAGACAATGTATCAACACTTTGTATCTTAATATTAAACTTTTAGTTATATGATAAACGTCTACACTTATACTATTCATATATATATCTAAGAAAACTTCTTCTAACCGTAAACTCTACATTTTAGATCAAAAACACGTTTTGTATTCCTGTTGTCGTTGATAGTCATACTACGAAGTTTTTTTCTCACTTTCCTATAATACAGTGTACATCAAAATTCTCGCACAACTTTTTTGTTTTGATTTGTGTATTTAAACTACATAATATTGGTTGAACTCGACTATATGCCTGCATAGTAGAGATCAAATACTATATAATATAATTAACATTCAGTCTTTCTCTTACACAAAATTTTTCGCGAAGCAATATTTTGACAATTGGAAAATTTCTTCTCAATTATTCCTTTCGAGAAAAGCACCTCTTAAAAACGTGACCGTTGACCAAACTGAGTTCATTTTTGTAGTACTTTGTGACAAATCGACTTCTCTTTCTACTTGAAATTTAAAAAACATTTTTAAAAAAAGATTTCAATCAGCAGAAGAATCTGAATATTGTGATAAATGCTGTTTTTGCAGTAGCATAGCTAACAGACCATCTTTATTAGGCTCAAATACATTGTAATCGAACGCAGACAATTTATTCTAAAAGGAGTACATATGTTTAATATGATTAAGCTTTGAATATGAAATACAATAAAAATAAATAAATAAATAAATTTCAATGCTAAGAAAAAAAGACAAAATACTATTATTATGATAAAGAACTCTGTCGAATTAGATGGCCTAGTCAGAATTGAGAAATCAAATATACCATATTGTAGAGCACATCAAGATCAAAGAATCATCCTTTGCGGGTCACCCATTATTACCAAAACTTATAATCAAAATACGAAATGCTGTATCCTGTAGACAAACGTCATTCGGTGTCAAATATCAAAGCTCAGACTTATTCGAATATTTTTTCCAATGTTAATTTTTTACTAAACAAAGTTAATGCATTTAAGATAAATTTACTGTGAATTTTTGTCTTGATTCGATTTTTAATATGATAAGTTATCGTTGTCTATCAACATTGTTCATCATATTGTATGTTATAAATAGATGATTTCAAATTCAATTATATCTGGAAAAGATTTTGTTTTAATCCTAGAACAAAATTTTTCAACTGCTTTCATCTATTTTTTACTCGATATCATCAGTAAAATGTATTTTGCATTATAGTTCTCATATTGAATCAAATGTTCTATTTGAGTTTTGAGTAAAATAGATTTGGTTTACTATTGAACAAAAAAAAAGTCCAGGAAAACCTTTGCTCGATTTTCAGAATTTTTGGAAAAAGTTCATTTAGGTAACTATTGACTTCTCTGTTTGAATTAACATTCTAATCTTATAGTTTATAATAAATTATAAAGCATTTCTTTGTTCTATCAATGTAAAATCATGTTTGTATTCATAACTGAATATCAAAACATTGTAAAATTCGATCAAACTTTAAAAAAAAAAGCATTTTGGCGCCTACGACCAATCATTGTTATCCTAAGAATAGTAAACTTTGAAGAGAAAAAAAAACAAGAGATAGGCGCGACAGTTACAATTTTTGTATCTGTGCAATATTCTTCTCTTCATTTTCGTTTTATCTTCATTAATTTCACTCTTCTAATTATTAATCGAATAAAATGACAACAGCTATTTGTTCTTATGAAAATATTCGTCAAATAACATCATGTACAGTATGTAATCGAACATTTAAAGATCCTCGAATATTACCATGTGGACATACATTTTGTATTGATTGTATACGAAATATAATGCTTGATACAACTATAATGGCTTGTCCTAATTGTTTGTTTATTTTAGTTTTCATTAATTTTATATACATTTTTATTTATTTGCTCAGGTTTAGCTAAACATACTATTGTTAATGTTGATTTATTATCTCAAAATGTAGCTTTAATGCAATTATTACATATTCGAAAAATTGATATTGTTCAAAATAAACAATGTGCAATATGTAATGTTCAACCATCAATAACATCTTGTGCACATTGTTCTCGACAAGCATGTGTTTCTTGTTTGGAAGTTCATCGACAAGAAGTTATTAGTGATATTACACGAGAAACAATGGAAATTGAACGTATGAGTGATGAATTAAAATTAGCACTTAATCAAACATCAAATGATTTCCGAGATCAATGTGATGAAACATTTCAACAAGCTAATAAACGGTATGGATTATTTTTAAGATAAAAAAAAAATTAATAAATTTATTTACTGATTTTTTTATAGTTTTGATGAAATGCAAAAAAATTTAAAATTATTAAATGAACGTTTATGTCAAAAAATTCAAGAATTTCATGATCGTCGTCAAGCTGATCTTGCTCGTTGTGTTGCTCGTCTTCATACTGAAATACAATCTATTGATAAATTTGTTGGAGATTCAAAACATTTACTTGTTGATGTTAATATTCAAGTAAATAATCTCTATAAAACAATCAATTTTTTCACATTTTTTTTCTCTATTAGACTGAAGTATTATTACGTCTTAAACAACAATTTCAAGAACCACGAAAACGATTACCTATTCTTTGTAAGTACACCTTCCATTCCACAGAACAGAAGTCGAGTGTCAAGGTCATGAGTATCTATAAAAGACGCCAATGCCTATCTATTTTATTAATGAGCAGACCGACTTGACTTAAGCACATACTCAAAATATTAGACTATTATACTTTAGCCTTGAAAAAATAGGAAGTATATATTTTCTCAATTCTCAGCTTTATTAATTGAATTTTGCATATAGGTTATGTGAACGTGTTCAATTGATCTCTCTTATCAGTTACCGCATTTGATAGTATAGTATTATATACGCTAGCACAGTCTCGGACAACAATGTGAGACTCAAATGTTCGGAAAGGAGATAGAAAGACGAGAAATATAGCACAGGTATCAGTACACCAGACTAAAAACTGAAAGTCAGAACAAGAAGAAGATACGATGGTAATGCTAGCATATATGATACTCTATACTGTCAAATACAATAATTGATAACAGATATTGATTGAACATGTTCACATGAGCTATATGCAAAGTTCAATTATAAGGCTTAAAATTGAGAAAATACATTCCTTCTATTTTTCTAAGGCTAGCATATAAAAGCTTAATATTTTAAGTATGTGCTTAAATCGAGTCGACCTACTCATTGGTAAAATATATAGATGTTCGTGTCTTATACAGATACTCCTAGGCTATGATCTTTCAAATGTTATGGAAATTCATCCATCCGAACGAGTACAAAATAGCGATATAAATCATCGAATAGATTCGTTAATTGCTTCTTGCTGTTTAGTTATAAGTTCTTTGGTATATCCAATTTCGTTTGTTCTACATATTTTCTACTAACGAACAATCGAATTTCTTTGGTAAGTCGAAAACTATGTATGTATGCTCACAAATAGGAAACAGAGGCATGCATTAATAGAACTTCTTTCTGTTATGAGGTTATATGCACAGTCTTGAAATGAAATTATGTAGAGTTTTATTAAGTTGACAGAAATATGAACAAATCTTTTATTGGAAAATGAGACATCTTATTAAGTTAAATGATGATCGATTGAAATTACGCGAAAGTTTTTTAGACTCAAAAACAAGTACCAGTATGAGATAAGTACGATTTCCATTATTGAAATGCTTACAAGATCTGTACTATCTATTGCATAAAAATAAGAAATCCTCATTTTGGATAGTAAAGGGTTTACTTCATACTTCTTTCAATATAATTGAAATATATCTCATTGCATTTAGGAACTGTACATAAGCTTCCGAAATGATGTCGCCTGACAGAGCTGTATAGCAGTTTTTTCTCAAGTGTCGTAATAAGCGTGATTTAACATACCTATATTAAGATCTACGAAGTGATGATGACAGGTGAACAGGTAAATGAGAAAAGTAGTGTAATAAAAGCATTATTCAAGTTCTCTGATAACATGAAACTGGAAAAGTATTGATGTCAATTTTTGGTTCTTCGGTAACTATCAAAGTTCTCAGGCAATTTAAAAATTTCAATTTATCGAATATTGTGTATTTCTGTGCTTGTAAGCGGATCCAATTATAACTACAACACAAAAAAAATCCAGTGGACTACGATTCTCTGGGGTAGAGCGACAATTAAGTCACTTTCTTTTAATCGAAAAAAAAAGAAAAGAATTAAATGGTTTTTTTTAGCTCGAGATTTAATTGAATCAACACCAACTATTCAATTTGTTTCATCTTCATTTCAAATGCTTAATGAAGAATTAGCTGGTACACTTGTTCTTGATAAACCTATTCATGGTAATATTAGTCCAAATGGAACATCAGCTAGTGGTGATCATGATAGTCGTTTAGCTGCATTGGCGTCAGGTTTTTTGTTTTTTAATCAATGATTTTCATTGTGGAATATATTTTTTTCTAAATAAAATAGGTTCTCGAACAGGTAAAATGGAAATAATCGGACAAGAAGGTTGTGGAAAATTAGAATTTAAATCACCAGCTGGTATGACAATAAATAGTGATGGACATTTAGTTATAGCTGAAATCGATAATAATCGTTTACAAATTTTAACAAGAGAATTTACACATATTCGAACAATAATTGGTTTTCGTGAACCACGTGATGTTTCATTTACAAAAGATAAACGTTATTTAATTACTGATAATCATAAATTAATTATCTTAGATGAAGAATTTCATAAAGTTGAAGTTATTGGTTCAAATAAATCTGGCAAAGGACGAAGTAATTTTCAATCAGAAAAAAAATCAGAGGAGGGTCATTAGGCGATGAAATCGACACACTCGCTAAATTCAGTTTCATACGTTCCAAATAGTTAATTTGCATGTTACGAATTTCTGCTGTAAAATGGAATATAGGAATATGACACAATATTCTTCTTTCCCTTTTTTCTTTAGATGACATTGTTCATCCATATATACAGTATAAAAATATCCATGACAAAATTTCTCTACTATGGTGTTATGAAACCAGTTATCCATTTTGAATTGCATATTATTTGATAATCCTTTTGAAGGTCTAAAAAGTGTCACTATTACATCGAGCTTAACTTGTAGCTAAAGAGGGAAGGTCCGCAAGTGTGATGTGCCATTTTGAATCGGATCTTTACCAGTTTGTAGAGCTTGATGAGACTAGACGAAGTCTAAAAGAGTTCATCCCCATACGCTGTCCATTTCGAGTTATGATCGTGTTACCGAATTTTCGATCTTTGGCAAGGCATATATGGGAAAATCGAATTACGAGACTTTTTGCCTGAAATTTTGTTCATAGATAGGTCTCATGATCTTTAAAATGTCCTAAAAGTTTTAGCCCAAAAGAATGTTTTCTTCTTGAGATATCGAGTACTGAAGACACTTGCTTTTCTGACCTTGCTTTGCGGCACATGATTGTTATTTTGAATACCAAATATCTCAAGAAGAAAATATTCTTTTGGGCTAAAACTTTTAGGGCATTTTAAAGGTCACAAGACCTATCTATGAACAAAATTTCAGATAAAAAGTCTCGTAATTCGATTTTCCCATATATGCCTTGCCAAAGATCAAAAATTCAGTAACACGATCATAACTCGAGAAGGACAGCGTATGGGAACGAATTCTTTTAGATTTCGTCTAGTCTCATCGAACTCTACAAACTGGTATAGATTCGATTCAAAATGACACGTTACACTTGTGGACTTTCCTTCGTTAGTCACAAGTTAAGTTCGATGTAATAGTAACATTTTTTAGACCTTCAAAAGGATTAACGAATAGTATGCGACTCAAAGTGGATCACTGCTTTTGTAACACTATAGGAGAGAAATTGACTATTTAGAAAGTATGAAACTTAATTTGGAGAGAAAGTCGATTTCATCACTTAACGATCCTGCTGCCCTCCTCCTTTTCGTGTTTTGTTTTATCTTTTTCTTTTTAGATATGTTTAATAATCCAACTGGTATAACTATTGACGAAGATGATGATGATATTATAATATGTGATACAAATAATGATCGTTTAGTTCTTATTTCACGTGATTTTAAATGGATACGAGATATAAATACAGGTATTGATACATCACCACGTTATGTTTGTATACGTCAAAATATAATATATGTAACAAGTGGAACAAAAGCTTGTGTTTTAATATTTAATAAAAATACTGATCAACAAATAAATACAATACCAGAATTAACATTAGGTTTATCAATTGATGCACCACGATCTATTCGATATGTACGAGATCTTTTATTTGTTACATCAAGTTTATCAAAAAGTATATTTGTATTTACAATTGATGGAGAATATCGAGGTGAATTAAGACATGAATTATTTGCACGACCAATTGGTATTCTATTTATTGATGATAGTCTTTATGTTACCGATAGTGATAAACATGCATTATTCCATTTCAGTGGTGTTCTTCAATAAAAAATTTATATTAAAACTAGATTAACTCCAAAACAAAAATAACGAAGAAGAAGAATAAACAAATCAAATAAAAATATACTTCACATTAAGAAAAAATTTCTCGTTAATTTATCAAATATTCGATTTTATCTAAAAATAATTACTTGATATATTTTTTCATTGTTTTTTTTTTCTTACATAATTTGAAAATTATGAATCAATTAAGGTCTAATAGTTTTCGCTAGTCAACTAGAAGAAAAAAGGTAAAGTAGTATGTAGCAACTATTTCACGTTTGAATTTCCCATGTTCTTCGTTCTCTGTTAAGTCAAAAAATGCCTTTCATACGTTTACTTGGAATTTTCCAAGTTGACACGTGTTTATATGTAGAGATTGATTGTTCTGTTATTCAATTCAGTTTTAAAATGATTCATTCATTACTTGTCAATTGTGTACTTGTTATGGTCGTATTTAATTATTATACTTTTAAAAAAAAAGCAGTTATTTGTTCTTAGCACCATTGTATTCTTTCGATATCAAGTTGATATTTTATTTTCATTTTTTCGAAGCTCGATCTCATGTTAGAATTATGAAGGTATGGTAAATGATACTTACTTTTCTCCTATAAAACAGACAGCAACTCATTCCTCGGTGTATACTTATATGAACACCATTTATAAACATGTACAGATGTCAAGAGACCCATAATTAACCTCATTCTATACTCGAGTGACAATATATTCTCTTGTGTTTTCTTGAAAAAAAAAAGATCTCGTAGGATTGAAATCGTTAGTTCAATAATAATTTCACTAGTGACTCTATCGAAGAAAAAATGTTCCTTTTTTACATAATATACAAAATCTTGTTAACATTTATGAACATATAGTGACTCGGAAAATTATTCGACCAGGTTTCTTTTCAATTTTTTTCTCCTACCATCAATGATATTAAGAATTCAAATAGTGATTTGTGTAGAGAATTTTATTTCTAATAAGAAATTTCGAAGATGAAAATTTTTGTTCCTTCCGTAGGATTGATGCATCGTGGTCAAAAGCTTCGTAGAAAGCTGAATTTAGGTGTTGGTTTTCCAGAGACGCTCTCCTTGGAAAATCTGTAATCCTTTTCATCTTCAAAAATTCTTGTGGAAAATAAAATTCTCTACATAAAACACTATTTGGATTTTTATTAGTATTTACGGTAGTGCAAGAAAAAATTGAAAATGAACTTGGTCGAATATTTGTCGCAGCCACTGTATATACAACTAACATTCAAACGAAATTTATTCTTCGACGACGTTAGTTTTCATTCAATTTAAAATAAAAAATCTGTTCATATTATTTGAAAAAGTTTATTGAATTTAAAAAGAACAATTTTGTTTTTTTATCAATGTGAAATAGATAAGTAGTTATTACGTCAATATTAGATTGTAATGTAAAATTTATTTCATTCGTTTGTATGTCAAACAATCCACATATTATTCATTTTCTTCGCTTTTTCTTTTTCTCTTTCAGACACATGAACTCTTTATGTCTTTTTCTTTTTTCGATTATTCTCGTTCTCTTTTCAAACCTCCATTCAATGCATTATTTTATGGATGTTTTGTCATTTATATATAAATGTTAATTTAGAATTTTGTCATATCTTCGAAGAATCAATGATTTTATTTTATTTTTATATTAATTCAATGTATAATTTGTTTAATTGAACAATGATTTTTCAACAAATGAAAATTAGTTTTGATCGAATATATTCATAACTTTGATGTTCAATGATAGACTTAACAAAATAAGGTTTTATTTATTTTCAAATATATTTTAATTAATCATTTCTTTTTCTAAGGTTTTATAATCAGTTTTTATGATTTCAATATGAATTAACTTCGATATGAAATATTTTTATTGACTAAATAGAAATATTTCAGTTAATGATATTTTTTATTCAAACAATTGAGAATGATAATCTTTTATAATCTATTGACAAACAATAATCAATAGTTAATGTTACTAAATTAATTATATTTAAATATAAAAATTTATATAATTATAAAGAAAAAATAAATAAATAAATTAGAAAATAAAGAAGAATTAAAATTAATTTGATATTTCATTTAATTCAAAATGAATCAATACGTAGATGAATATTTGTAAAGTTAAAGAAAAACATGAATGAAAATCGATGTGTATTCATGATAATAATTTCTCACGTTGAATATATAATTATATTAAATTTTGAAATCATTCAATATTATAATCAAAAAATTCTCATTGTTAAACATTGATAATTTATTCCGAAAGATAAAATTTTTCAATCTTAATTACATAAAATTAATAAAAATTTCTTTTTTTTTTTAAAATTTTAGATGAATTTGCAAATGATATATTCTCATTCTTTTGTTTTCTTTTTCTGTTTTTTTTTTTCGTTTCTTCTGTGTTTATTTCTTTCTTCCTCTTCTATTCGTAACTTGCCTTACGGTTATTACATTTGAAAAGGTTGGTTGTTTTCGTATCTTTGATTTGTCTAGATAAAATAAATGGCAACAGCCAATCGTTTTCAAACTCGTGTATTAATCCCTGATAAAACTTCATTAACAGATAATGAAATTCGTCTTAATTCACTATTAGAACAAGCACAAACATGTTATCATACATTAAATGATCTTCAAACAACGGAATATAATAATAATTTATTACGAGAATCTAAACTTGACATATGGTCATCAAAGATGTTTGAAAAAATAAATGATTTATATAAATCATGTTTAAATGATTTAAAACAATCATATGAACAATTAAATTTATTTCAACGATTAATGATAAATATATTAAATAATGAAAATGAAAATAATCTTGATGGAAATAAATTATTAACTATTGAACAAGAAATATGTATATTAAAATGTTTAACATATCAACTTGATATAACAAAAGTTAAAATTGAAGGAAAATTAAAATTAAATAAATATTCTGATAATGATGAATGTGAAATATCTATTGATGATAATAGTTATCAAAATAAAATTAATCAAGAAAATAATAAAAAAGATTTTATTTGTCGAATTTTAGTACATACAGATATAATTAATAAAATTAAAAATTTACCACTTGTTCAACAATTTGTTAAAATGACAACAGATCAAATTAATCAAACAACACCTGAACGAATTTTAACAATTATAGGTAAATAGAAAAAGAAGAAATTTTTGTTCTAAATTTTATTTTTTTTTATTTAGGTCCTGATTATTTAGATGTTATTGAAAAAATACTTTGTAGTATATATTCATCATCATTAAATCAATGTGAATTACGAATTCTTCTTCATCAATCATATGCACCATTAATACTTGGAAAATTAGGTGATCGTTCAAAAATTTTACGTGAAAAATATTCATTACATACATTAACTATTCATCCAACATGTGCACCACATTCAACTGAACGTGTTCTTCTTATACAAAGTTTATCACCTGAGAAAATACTTTCTTGTCTACAAGAAATATTTATTAATATTAATCAACATACATATGATGGTGATGATATTTTACTTTATAATGAAATGTAAATAGAATATACATTTATTTATTTATCTTATGGAAAAAAAAAGAATTTCGAGAAGATCAAATTTTTATAAGGTGTGCCGACTACTCAAAATTTAAGCAAAAATTTTTTCTAGCGTCTTTTTTTGTCACAGTTGGATAGTAGAGTCCGTCGGATCTTAAACTTTTGAGCCTAGACTCGGTTTATTCAGCGTTTTTTTTTCGATCCGAATTCGGTCGAACCGTACTTTGATGCTTTCCATGAAATTTCCTAATCGAAATAGGATAGACGCCTCAAAGTTACGAGCCACAGTTTTTTTTGACTTTTTATATTCGATGACTAGTACATCCTATACATTTCTCAGACGAGTTATCTGAGAATTGTGTAGGATAGAGCTCTTCGAACTATCTATAAAAATATTGTTTTTGACATATTCAAACGATGTTTTCGTAATGAAAATTAGATAATCATCAGAACTTTAGTTTGAAATAAAATGAATATTACATATAGAACTAATATAAAAATCTCTATCGGATAGTTTACTAAATACTTAAAGCAAAATTTTAAACTAGAGAGAAGCACAGGCCAGAGTATTCGAAAATAACAGTGTGGTGATGTAAGGACCAAAATTTGATGAAGATTAGTTTTAAATATTGAATATACTATTCAATGCAGATTTTGAATATGATATCCGTTTCCTTTAGAACTAACGTTCTGATGGTTAAAACCGTATTTATGATGTTTTGCTTTTATATGGGAACAAAAGTTAAATGAGTTTTAACAATCGAAATTTTTCTATTTTATCTAAAGTTATTTATTATGAATAATATTTATGAAGTTTGTTTTGTAGAAATCAAACCTTCATGATGACACCTATCAAATGAAAAAAAGAAAACATATTGCTTAATCACAATAAACATTCGATAAGTTTACTTCTCGAATGATATTGTACAACAGAAGATCAACGAGGGAACCTCTTCAAGTGTAAAATCACTTTTTACTCGAGACTATTGTCAAAAACTAAAAATCTCATATCTCGGTGAGATTTTGTTCTGAAATTTTTCATGGAATCTAGTTTAGTTTAACTGAAAAATTTGATATCTCAGTCGACGATATCCATGAACAGAAAACAAGTTAGATTTTTTAACCGCTCACAAGGAAACATTCTGAAAATGTTCGTATATTTTTGAGCTGATATTTCGCCTATAAGTAGATCTTGCTGAACTATGAAAAGTTCCCAAAGAGTTTGTGTTCATGGGGCGTTTGTTGTCGAGAATCGGCAACGAACACCCCATGGATACAAACATTTTGAAGCTTTTTCATAGTTCAAGAAGGCTTACTTACACGCAAAATATCAGCTCAAAAGGATACGAACACCTGGGAATGTTTCCTCGTTAGTAGAGCCTATTTAATGACAATAGTCTCGAGTGAAAAGCGATGTTAGACTTGACGACTTCCATTGGTAAAACTTAATTAGGGAAGATTTTTATGACATATATACAATTTTTTCGAAGTTCGTGAACTAATTGTTTCATAGGATATGTTCTTTTTAAAACAAATATCGAATGAAAGTCTTTTATAAAACTATGAAAAAAAAGTTCGGATCCCATGGTAAAGTCTATTCGTCATTTAGATTTTACTCCAAAATTTTTTGAATCCGGACTTGATCGAACCATACTTTGATAATCTCAATGAAATTTTCTAATCGGAATTGGATAGTTGCCACCTCAAAAATAAGAGATACTTTTTTTGAGTGCTTTTTGTATTAGATGATTAGCGCATTCTACAAAATTCTCAGATGACTAGAGCCCAACAGATCAAAAATTTTTGAACCCGAACGCGGTCGACTCTGGAATCAATTCGATGAGCTCTAGTTGATACGTTCAAGTTACAATATAAATGTGCATAGTATATACTAATATTCTGATTAATTTAGTCTGATTAAATCAGAACTATCTACTAAATCTATTTAAATAGAAAATGAACAAGAGTAAAATTTTAATTTAAAGATAATATATTATCAATAATTTTCTTTAATATTTTTCTAGTAATTATGATTCTTCACTTGCTCATGAATATGGTGGTTTTGCTTCATCTGAAATAATTACACGTTCAAATGAACAACATAATCAACATCATGAACAAAATGATAAATATGAAGAACAAGAAGATGATGGTATCCGTCGTTATTCAGCATTTGATGCTTGGAATGGTTCAGTTGAAGCTGATACAGATCATGAATTTTCAATAGTTAAACTTAGTGATGATTCAATAATCCGAGAATTTTGGATAAATCATGGTCAATTTGGTGCTTTACTTGGTCCACATGGTGTACGTATTGCACAAATTCGTTCACAATGTCGGACAGTTCGTATTCATACAGTAGCTGGTTCATCAATTGATACATGTTCAGTTAAAGTAATTGGACCTCGAGCTGATGTTAATCATGCTGTTACTTTAATAATGCAATCAATTAAAGAACATGATAGAAAATTTCCATTTAAACATCATCGTTTTAGTGGACGTTTAAGATAAAATCGAACAAAACTTTTCATTTCGTTCTCTTTAATGAATATTTATGTAGTGTATATTAGTTTTTGTTCATTTATTGTTTCTATAAGACACACACACAAACATAAATAAAAAAAAAAAAAAAGAAAACAAAATATTTTCAATGAATATTACGAATTATGTGATGTTAAAATATTTGTATCAGCATTATTCATCGTTGTTCTAAAAAATAGAAAACAAAATTTCTATTGAAAGAAAAAAACATTTGATTTTTATTTCTACTTAGATTGTAATTCAAGTAATTTAACTTTATGTGATTGTTCAGAAAGTGTATCTAATGCTTCATGTAATTCCTAGGAGAAAAAAAAATTGATTTTTTATTAAGAAAAAACTTTTCAGTTGAAAACGAACTTGTTTTAATGTTTTAATTTCATAATTTTTTCGATTGAGTTTTTCATTCATATCTCGTTTTACTGTTCGAACTTTTGATGTTCCATCAGGTGGACAATGATGATGAAGTGTTGCTGTTGATCCACCACTACGACGGATTAATTCATTTGATTGAGATTGATCGGTATTCTAAGAAGGAAAAAAAGCTTCTTTGGAGTTAAAATATGGAACTCATATGTATTCTTTAGCCTCACTATAATATCTTAAGTGAAAAATCTCTAACAGACTATAGTTGTTTTCTAAGGATAATCGATCATTAATGAAATGATCTATCTTATTGTTAATACCATTCAGCGCCTTTTTCTATTGCTAAAGAACTCTAGGAAAGGAGTCTAAAGCCTTTTCGTTTGATATAGACACGTATTCAATAACCGCTGGTTCTAGAAGTGTAACAAACTCAAAGCTTTGGAATTTGATTTTATCTCAAAGGATCTTGTAAGATAAGATGAGATCAACAATGGTCTATTTTACTAGAGATACGGCACAACCAAAAACTTTTGAGATTTGGAACCAAATTCTTAGTATTTGGATACGAATTTGATCTTGGAAATAAATAGTATAACTAGTTTGTAGACTGATAATGATCGCTACAATTAGAAAATTTCGAATAAAAACATACTCGACCGAGTTTAATTGATGAATTAAATCGTTTTTCTTGATTTAAATTATCTTGAGTTTCTTTAAGAGTATTTCGAAGAAATAATGCTTCATCATCTTTGGTTCGTTTATCAGTCTAAATTGAATAGATTTTTTAATATAAAATTTTTCTTTAAAATTGAATTACTTCAAGATCTTGTAATAAAATATTTTTTTCACGTAATAAAATTTCTGCTTGTCGTAATTTACCCAAATCTTTTTCATAATCACGTAATAATTCTTCTTTTCGTGTTAAACGTTCACGTAACATCTAAAATTATCATAATAAATTATTGATTTAATAAAATTTTTTAAACAAATGTTTACTTCAATTTTTTGTATTAATATTTCATTTGTACGTTGTCGTTGTTGTAAAGCAACATAACGATCAGTTGATGGGAGAGTAGTTAGTGGAGTTACATTTAATAAATTATCATCATCAATATCAAGTAAATTCATTAATTGTCGTGTAAATGTGTTTTGCTAGAAAACAAAAGTAATAAGTTAAGCATGAAAATTTTAAAGTTTAAAATAGACACTGTTAAATATCTGATGACCAAAAAAATGTTTCTATTTTCATGACGGAATCACCTTAACCGATAGGTTACTTTTCAAATGTCAATAACTTTCTTAAAAGATGATAAAACTTAAATCTTTTGTCATGTTTGAAGAGTCTACTCTAAGTTATCTTTGAAATTTGTGATCGACTTTGATAAAAATTATACTTATATATGAAAAACTATAAATTAAAATGTATAACGAATCTTGATTTTGATCGATTCTAAGTGATATCTTTTTAACAAAATTTTTTCTCTAAGATATATGAAGCAACATAGATAAAAACTATATTTTTCTTTGCTATTAATATTGTCCTCCAAGATGATCACATTCGTTTTATTTAATTTTATAGTTCGATTTTGTTCCGACAAGTGCATAGGTCGTGTATGATTTAAATGATGATCAAGCGAATCTTAATAAAGATTTCCTAATTAAGAGTATAATAGAAACTATAAAAGCATTCTTGTGATTATGAACTGATCGATTCTAACAGTTTTTTTTATACAATTCAACTGATCTTTTCAATTTGACAACCTTATATTGCCTAATTTGAAGATCTAAACGAAAAAAATCCAATCACAATTTTTTCCAAAAGAATTTTTGTTTTCTCTTCTGTACAAATTTATACTTTTCGTATACAGATTTGGCTTTAATAGCAAAGATAAATACGAAAAAAATAAATGGATCAATAAAGCTATATGATGATGGAAAGTGAAGTTTATGCATGAATTTACCAATATATTATATATAAATTAAAAACTTTGATTTAATTTTATAAAACAAGCAATCACTTAACCCTTCATTGAGGTCCTTCCTTCGAAATTTCATTGCTATCCTGGGGTACGACTAGATGTATACGTAGAAAATTACAAAAAAATCGATACTTTTGTTTTATTTCAGCTGCTCATTGATGTACTACAGGCCTCTAAATCTTCTTTAACTGTAATTTCTGTCACAATGATTGACTTGTTCTTATTTGATTTTCTTTGGTGAAGACAAAGTCTTTTCTTTACATGTCTAGCAGGTTATCATTTGTTAATTTCTCTTAAATGTTTACAAACGCTTTAACGAATTCCTAAAATTCGAACGAATCGACAGAAGTGATGTGATATGATTTTGATCAAAAAACAATCACAAATTTCACATTGTATAAAGAAAATGTCAATCCTCACTATTAATGATAAACGTACAAACAAATCTATTTGGAAAGATACTTGGAAGAGACAGATTCAGCAAGATAAAAAATGATGCCTATAACACCGTTGGTGTTTCAGTGTCTATGTAGATCCACAGCTGTATTTTTTTTTTGACTCTTAGATTTACTCATGATTTCTGGTAAGGATATTATGCACTTACTAAAGACTAGACGAAAAACTGTAAAATGGGTCTATTTGGACCGCACGATCATGGTTGTCGATATTTTCTAGATGTGGGAGGGCTTGAAAACTCGACAAAAGATGCTTTCATTTTCTAAGTGCTACAAGTGGTAACTGCTGGGAAGGGGCGAAGAAAGAAACTCGCCGTGATTCGGTTCCTCTCACAACAGACGACCTGCTATCAAGCTGTCCCTTCCCAACCTTGTTGGCAAAAAATTAGACATTTTAGAATGGAAAAGTTCAAACAAATAACATTTCTTTGAATAAAATCAATAAGAAAGAAAAAACTTTTATGTCTAATGAGAAAAGATTATATTGATATAATTCAATGCAAAAAATTGATTTCTTAAAAAGAAAATTTTTTTTCTTTAAAATCTTCTAACTTACTAATTCATCACAAGATTGTAATGAATTCATTGTTTCAGCATGTGCTGTTCTTTCTTCAATAATTTTTTGTGCTTCAGGTGTTTGTTCGGAATGACTTGTTGTCGATGATGATTGTCGTGTTGTTGTTGCTGTTGATTGTCTTTGTGATTGTTGATGAATAGAATTTGGTCCTGATGTTGTTGCTGTTGTTATTGTTAAATATGGTATGTCATTTGGTAAAGCTTGTCTTGCTCGTAATTCTGCTAATTCACGTTTAAGTAAAACAACTTGTTGTAAAACTTTTTCATATGATGGATTTACTGGTCGTAATTGTTCTAAAGATTTAATTCTTGCACGTAATTCATTTAATGCTTCGCGTTGTCGTCCAATTGTTTGTTCATGTCGTTCACCTTTACATTGAGCACCAATAGAAATTAATTCATGTGTTATACGACCCTTAAGATTTAGCAAAAAAAAAAAGAAAAAAAGAATGGATAAATAGAACAATGAGAAAATTAAAATGTATACTTCATCATGATTTATTTTTTCAACTTGTTCAACAATTAAATTTTTTTCTTGAAGAGATTTTGTTAAACGATCAATATCAGCTTGACGTTGATCAACTAATAATTGATATTGATTTGCTAATATTTTAGATTTTCTATTAAATAAAAATGACAAAAAAAAAAAAATCAAAATTTTCTTTTTTACTTAATAAAATAAAATCTTACGATAAATTTGATTCTAATGTTTCAATTTGTGTTGATTGTTTATCAACAATATCACTTAATTTAGATAATTTTAATCTTGTTTCATTTAATTCTTTAGTTTGTTCACGTATTGTTGATTCACTTTTTTCCAGAGCATATTTTTGTTTTTCACTTAATTCACCTTGAACATCAGATAAACGAGCTGTCATACCAGCTAAATCTCGTCGTAATGAAACAATTATTTGTTCTTGTTCTTGTACACGAGATTTATAAGCAAACAATTCTTGACTAAATAATAATAATCCAAAAAAAAAAAAGAGGTAAAAAAAATCTATTATAAATAGAAGCCAACCTGAGATCAGCTACAGGTGTAGCAAGAACAGGAATGACTGTTTCAATAACTGGTGGTGATGATGTTGATGGTCTCCCTGGATAAATAAAATGAAAACAAATATTTTCATATTGTTTATTCAATAGCTTGAAAACATGTCATATCGATCGGATAAAATTTTTGATAATTAGAAAAGGAAAACATTATTGTCAGTGCAAAAAAATGTAAAATGACAGATGCTTTAAGGTTACTTCTTTCCCTTTTCCCGAGTTTTGTAGAAAACGGCTTATCAGAAAATTTAGAAACTTTTAGGGCTGATAGATCTTAATGAGTAGAGCAAATGTTGTCTTCTATGAGATATTGGAATTATAATGGGCCAAAATGACTGCACTTTTCGTCCTCATCCCTTCTCTGAGACACTACGTTCGATAGAGATGAAAACTTTTTTTTTTACAGGTATTCGACACTATTCGGGATTGGTGATTTTTTTAGTTTCCTTACATCTTTTATCCTGCTAGTAAAAAGAACCAATATATATCAGACACATTCTAAAAACCTTTTGTTGTTTACTAAGATAAAATTCATAAAAGCAGCCAA